AAGGTAGTATTCCAATTGAAAATAACTTTGAAATATAAAAATTAGCTCTTGAAGCCTTTGTATGAAATTGTCAAATCTTAGGATGGATTCAGCTAAGAATTTAAATGATAATGATAGATTGATTTGAGATAATTGAATGATTATTGAATGATTGAGATGATGAGCTGATGTGGAATCGAAGGATGTGAGACTATAATTGAATTGAAAAATGATAATTGAATTGAAATGATGATGAAAGTTAAATAAAATTTCAGGCTTTCTTGTTTATTTTTAATAAAAATTTTAGTTCAGTGTGTGTTGTATTTTAGTTTGTAGTTGAAAAGAAACAATATTATTATGGTTTTTTAATTTTTTGTAAACTTCTTAACAATATCCGGTCAGTTAAAATTAATAGTTTCAAAGATTTCAAACTTCTTTAGGACCAATAACTTCATCGAACTTTGAGAATCTTATGTGCCTTGAGACTCAATTCTTTAGGTCTTCCAACTAAGGAAGCTGAAGGTGTGATATCTGTAGAGGTTTTCTGTATTGCTTTTTTTTGTCCTTGAAGAATTTTTAAATTATGTAAAATAGTTTATATATAAATTGAGGATTAAAATTATAAAATAAAAGTTTTTATATCTTGAAAACATCTAAATTAGATGCGTTTTTAATATAAAAATGGATAGAGGCTAAATTAGAGCATGTGAATTGCTATTTTTGTTTGATTTGGACTAATTTTTTATTCTTTAAGTTACTTCATTTTTTCGGTTATCTGAATTTTTAGATCTTTCACATTCATAAAGTGATAAATTAGACTAAACAGCAATTCATGATGATTTCCTTGAATTGTAGAAAACAATCTTCCTAAGAAATTTGTTGTTTCCTTCACATGCCTCTTTGCTTGTCATTCCAACTGATAAAGACAATTTTCAATAATTGCTTATTCGAGCACAAAAATTTTAATGAATGTTAGAATACTGGATTAGAAAAAGACTGGATACCAACCAACTTTTTTAAAGTGAATAGCATTTTTTTACACATTTCTGGGTCAATGGCAAAACGAAAAGCTAAAATCTGCCGTATTGTTGCAATTTTCTTCACCAGTTTAGCAGGAACACAACAAATTTAAGAGGTTAAACGTCGGATGACTATGACATCACTGTTTTGGAAAGCTAATGCGTTGGATTTTTTATTACATTGACTCCCATGTTGATGTAGAGTGATGCAAAAGACTATTTTGATTCAAAAAAAAAAAAGGAGCAAAATTTTTGGAGAGCTTTGGAGCAAAATTTCCTGGAAAATTTCTTCACAGTGAAACCATAAAGTTTTCTTTTAAAAGAAAAATAGGTTTTATCTAGATTTAGGTCATCTAATTTCATTGACATTAAAAATTAAACAATTTAGTTATAATAATCTAGACTCTCATTACAGTAATGGCATTTTTGCATTATATTTTACTTAAGAGCAACTTGGTGATTAAAAAATATTTTTACTTTTATATTATGAAGTAACTTTTTTTTGGTACTTCAACTATCGTTTGGTTTTTCTATTCGATCACTCGCGCTGAATATCCTCTATCAGTGTCTTTAAAGTCGTTTGTCGTTATTTGTCAATTTTACTGTCGTTATTATCGTCATTTTAAATGTTGCTATAGTTATTGTCGTCACCTTTAAAATCAAGGTTATACTGGTGAAATTTAAAACTGCAAAAGTTTTTCTATATTAATACATGTTTTAACTAAATTTTGTATTCTTAATATATGTTGTGCCTTAAAGGGGCGGCTCCTTTTATTTATTTTATTTATTTATTAATCTCTCTCAAACCTTAACACCAAAACACGAACCATGTTTAACATAGCTTCTGTGCAAAATGCAGGTTGGAAAAAATGCTAAATTTAGTTTTTGCTATTTATTTGCTCGTAAAATACTCTATAAAAAATATCACTATAAAAAAAATTTATTTTTAAAGTGATATTTTTTATAGAGTATTTTACGAGGAGTTCTCGATGATGAGGATCTGATGGTCATCTACCGGTTTTTGCATTCTTTTTATTAAATTAAATACAATTATATTTATTTTATTTTAATGCATTTGTATTATTTTACTTCTTAATGTACCTCTTCTTTTTAAACTAAAACTCGTTTGACGAAAGGTTGTAATATAATTACGACATACGAAGTTTCTAATATAATATACTCATATAAATCACCAACAAATCTGGCTGTGTCAGTAGTCAAGATTTGTTGGTCAAGTTTTTTAAACACACCATTTCGCCTTAGATTAAGTATCCCCAAATTAAATTAATTGACAGACTATATATATATATATATATATATATATATATATATATATATATTAAAGCGCGCCAAAACGTACTAACGTTTTGGCGCGCTTCTGATATTGCACTTTTAACACTATTCAACGCTCTTAAAAAACTGCAAACAAATAATTATTTAATTTTTGATACTAGTAAGTCATAACCTTTAATGAATTAGACAAAAATACTTTTTCAAACCTTTACTTTTCAGACATTATCGTATTCACACAACCTAACAAACCTTTTACACAAATTTGACGGCGCCTTAGACGGCAAATTTGACGGCGCCTTAAATATTAAATTTTATTTCTTTTTTTCTTGATCCAAAAAGAAATTAAAAGTTACTAAGTTATAACTAAAATTCATTAACAAACAAATTTGAAAAGCTTAATTTGCTATTAATATTCTTAATATTTTGTACAAGACTTTTTCTAAGGGCGTCTAAAATATTAAATTTTATTTCTTTTTTTCTTGATCCAAAAAGAAATTAAAAGTTACTAAGTTATAACTAAAATTCATTAACAAACAAATTTGAAAAGCTTAATTTGCTATTAATATTCTTAATATTTTGTACAAGACTTTTTCTAAGGGCGTCTAAAAGTTGTTTTTTACAACTGTGCTTAAAAAACAAAAGCAAAAATAAAACGTATTGAATACGTCTTTTGTTTTATGTGAACAAAAGTTACCTTCTTTACCACTTTTACTATTTTTTATGTTAAAATTCTGTGTACTTTTCTTTAAGTGTCTCCACTCTTTCCATGTGTACTTGTCTTGACTCTGCCCCGAAGGTGTAACCATTAGAATGTTAAACGTTAACTGGAAAATCTATTTTAATTTTATGCGTAACTCTTCGGATATTTTATGCGTAACTCTTCGGATATTTTATGCGTAACTCTTCGGATATTTTAAAAGCTCTGTTTAAGTTTAGGGATTAAAAATTTGAAAAATACTTTTAACTTAAAGTGTATTTCACTATGCATGACTATTAGAATATGAATAAAGTTTATTAGAATGTATAGGGTATTAAAATTTAAATTTAATAATATATCTTTAAGAAACTAAATTTGGTGAAAGATGAATATTGTGACTAATAAAAAGTAATAACGCACTCAATGCTTTTGTGACTAATAAAAACTAATAACGCCCTATGTGTAGACTATTATGAACCGGATAAAACTAGATAAAGGAGATTATATAATAAAAATTAGGACTTTAAATCAAAAACTTTTACTTTTTAGAATATACATATATACATACAACCCTAGACGCCAAAAAAGTAAAGGGTTCTGATGCATGTGTTCCGTACAAACCGTGAAACTGTTTTGTAATTGGTCTTTGCTTTAGATATTATTAAAGTATTGCAAAATACGTTTTTAATAAAAACCAATACTTGCAAATAACTTTGAACAAAATATAAAAAAACACAATTTTACTTATTTTAATATGAATAAATTTAATAATAAAAATTGAAAAAAAAATTCCTCTCTAAACAACGGAATGACGCAACATGTCAAACGCAAATACAGAGCTTAAAAAAGAAAAAAACATGAAAGCCGACCCACATCTTTTGCATAGGAAGTAATTTTAGATTTTCAAAATAAAATATTTTTTGTTTAAAACAAATAAAAGAACTTATTTTTAATAGTTTTTTTTTATTCTCACACCTTTTTATCAAACATTTATTGCAAATAAATATCAATTTAAATAAATAATTTTAAAAACAAAATTTCTGACACTTTGAATTTTATTTAACCGAATTAATTTTTTTTTTGGTATATTAACAATTTCAATATTTATAAAAACCATACTGTCTTTAAATGACAAACTTTAAAACATTATAAACGTTAAAAACGTTATAACGTTATAACGTTATAAACGTTACAACGTTATAAACGTTATAACGTTATAACGTTATAACGCTATAACGTTACAAACGTTATAAACGTTAGAAAACGATACAAACGTTACAAACGTTATATTTTTTTATTTTTTATTTTTTTATTTTTATTTGAGTTTTCATGCTATATTTTTCTATACAATGTTCTTATATCCGAAGATATTGTTGGCTTAACATAGGAACAGCCACAAATAGTCATTAAGACTAATCCAAAGTAGCGTCCGTTATTGGACAACATTTTTGCGTACCGAAGTACTACTCAAGCGCTGAGTTTGTGGTGGCGGGATTTGAACTCGTATCGTTCAACAGTCCGGGTTTTCACTTTTTCTTTAACGCTCTAACCATCTGGGCTATCCCGCCACCAACCGTTGTAACGTTATAAAGTTTATAACGTTGCAACGTTTATAAACGTTTTAACGTTATAAACGTTGTAACGTTATAAACTTTATAACGTTATAACGTTATAAACAATAAGGTTGGTTTCTTTTTCAAGTAACTGTAAAAGGCGTACAAAGTATAACTAGTTTAAAAACAAATTAAAAATAAAAAAAAAAGTTTCTAGCTTAAAGATAAAAAATATGTGAAGGTTAAAGTATTATATGTATACATATTACATTATTATATGTATATTAAAAACGTGTATATATAGTGTATATATAGTACTATATGTAAATTAATATTTATATATATATATATATATATATATATATATATATATATATATATATATATATATATATATATATATATATATATATATATATATATATACTATGTATGCGTAGAAATGAAATATGAACTTACCCGATAACAAAGCCAAAGAACATCCAATTAAAAAAAAGTGAACTAACTGAGAAAGCTTCGCATTGTTTTTTTTGTCGCATAAAAGAAGCATTTTAGATTGTGCAAGTACACTTCAAATTAAAACACAATATATGTTCTATGAATTACAAAATACTTTTACGAAAATTATAAGGCTAAAGCAGGTAATGAAACTAAAATGTACAAATAATGTGAAAAAAACTTGTATAAATAGTCTGCAAAATCTAGATTGAAACCTTTTTATATTAGAAAAATAAATCTATAAGTTCAACTCGAGTTTCTTAAATTAATTTTTTTTTTATTTTTGCTTGCAATTGGTAATCAATTATTTATTATTTTTCAGGCAGTTAAAGTAAAACCTTCAACTAAAATAAAACTCATTTATTTACAGTATTTTTATAAAATGTTTACATTTATACATAATTTAATAATTATATACACAAATGCATATATAATAAAGGCTGGCTCAACCCTTTATTACTTTTTTTTTTAGCTTAGTAAATTAACTTTGTCAATTGCATTCAAAAACTATTCCAAACTTTCATATTTTATAAATATTATAAACGCATGTTTTCTGCGTGTTACATAAGTTACGTAAACACTGTTTATATTTGTACTACATAAATTACGTAATAACTGTTTAATGTGTTTTTGGTTTATACAAACTTAGACAAATTTAAATAAGTTTTAAAAATTAAGTAAAAAACAGTTCTTATATCACCAAAAAAGTTCCCATATTGTTACATAAATATAGCAATTTCATAATAACATGAAATTGAAGTATACTGTTCGTTGAAAATTTTTTTTAAACTTCCAACCAAAAACGCGGAAGTTATGTACAATAAGTTGGCAATTATATATTTATAGCTTGAATAATTTATATAAATTTAAGTATATTTTATATAAATTAAAGCTAAACTTATAAGATAATTAAAAACAGGTTTCATTAAAGTAATTTGCAATAAAACTAGACTATTAACTAGTAATGATGGTAAAATTTACGTAAAATTGCATCTAGTTAAGCTTGATATTCTTAGTTAGATTTATTGTTTAAACCTTTAATTAGGATTGTTAAATTGCACTTAATTACTCCTGGTTTGTTTTATCACTTGACCTTCTTGACAACTGTGAAAATGAAATTAAAAAAACGTCTGAAGTTATTTTACTGCCCGGTGATGCATCAGATCTTTCCACGTCATGTTTAATGAAAATTATTCGAATTGATTTTTGAAAGCAATCAAGTCTTAAGGCAAGTAAGTAGGGATTTACCGCACAAGTAGTCATTGTAAGAAGCATATGTACATTGTGTAGTGTCTGTTTAAGTGCGTAACTACACGAATTGGATATCATTAGGAAATAGCTCAAAGCGCAAGATGGCAGTAACAAAGTAGTAAAAACAATTAACTGTAAAGTATATGAGCGACGAACTCGGTCGTTTCGTTCGACAAAAGCCACAGCTATTGAATCTGATCTTGGTCGTCGACTATCTTGTCTGTTCGGCAATTGAAGACTTTGGCGATTATATTCTTCAAATCTATGAGGAAAATGATCTCTTTGGAAAATAATAGTGCTTCTCAATGGTGAGTAAGCATTTTTTGATTTTTCAGGTAAAAGAAAAGTTCCCTCTTGTTTTTGCAATTTTCTTAACGCTGCAATAAATGATACGCACAGAGATATTAATATAACAAAGGTATGTAGATTTGACATAACAAAATAATACCTCGATAAATTACAAAATAAACTGCCAATGCTAATAAGTATTGCAACCAACCACACTGCCATAGTTACAAATCGTGATCGAATTATATTTATATTAACTCTATATAAAAATGGCCATTGTATAGCTGCAAATCTATCAATCACAAGCACTAGCATATTTAACATTGATGCCGTTACAGTTAAAAAAAACGACACGTCAACTGTTGTGTGCAATATATTAGGTAACATCGTTTGAAACATTCTATCATAAGCAAAAACTGGCAATGAAATGCAGCTTATCATTAAATCACTGAAACATAAATTTATAAGAAAATAATTTAACGGAGTCTGCAGCTTGCCTGTTGGATCTTTAAAATAAGCAAGGATTACCAAACCGTTTTCTATAAAAGCGATAACTGAAAGCACAATTGAATATATGCCGGTAATATAAATGAATTTTGACGGAACTAAAAAATGTGTGTCATTACTTATGTTAAATTGGCAATTTTCGAAAAACATTGACATTTTTTGTTGAATACAAATCTAAAAAAGATTTAAGAAACATCAAACATTTGCATAAAGTTCTCCAACGTTCTGACAATTAAACATAACTAAGAAATAAAAATTTATAACCAGTTTAGAAACTTTTATAATAATAATTAATATAATCGCTTTATTTTTTATCTACAATTTAAACATTTGTACTTTTTTTCACCATTTTGCGTGTATTTCAAAGAAAAATTAACGCCTTTTTTATATTTTTATATAAAATATTTTCAATCTTTACCAGATAATGTGCATAAATTTATTTATAAAATATATTAAACAACAACAACAACAAAAAAGAACAGATAAATAGCATTCTTATAAAATAAATCAATATATTATTCCTTCCCATGATTCAAAGATTTTTAAATTTTAAAAATGTTTATAATCAGATGACCTTATTCTACTTAAAATAGCAAAAGGAAGTATGATACAGTTTTTCTATAGGAAGTATGATACAGTTCTTACAAAAAATTAAAAACATTTTATAATGGGAAGTATGCTACCGCATTTAAAATAAACCGCCACACCTTATTTGTATGTTAAATATACTTTTTTTTTGTATGATACAATAGTATAAATATATAAATATGACATTTATTTTTATAAATATATTTTATTTATAAAATACATTTATATTTAGGAAATTTAACAGAATATTTAACATAAAATAGATTTAGTGTTTTTTTACTTCTTTTTTACTTTTAAATTTTTTTACTTTTTAACTGCATTTTTTTTATAACGTGTCAATTGACTGGAGTGTTGAAGAAGCTTTTGGGTAATGGTCACACACTTTTGGGTAATGGTCAATCACAAAAAATCGTTATTTAAATTAATACAGACAAACCAACGTATCAAATGAAATTGATTTTAGTCAAAATGCCAAGATCAAACAAATAGGTCTAAATGGTTTTACTAGTTTCAAAACAAACAAAAAAATTATAAAATGTTCTAAAAAATCAGTATTTTTACAAGCAGCTACAATATAAAAGAAAAAATCGGCACATAATAACTGAGAAAAAAATACCATTCGATTTTTCATCCTAAGAGTTAAAGACATTTTTTTACCCTGCTTTTTATTCTATCATAATCCTATGAATTAATACCTGTAAAGCAGGAATAATGGGCTGAAATTTTAATAAATGCGTGAAAAATGTGTGGGTTACACCAATAGAATTGATGCTTCATTAAAAAATTGATACCTTGGCTTTTTATAAATATGTAACCGAATTAAGAAATAAAACCGATGCGATTGCGACAAATCAATACGCTGATCCAAATTGGTACAAATCGGTACGCTGATCTAGAACTTTGTTCGTTTAAATAATTCAGAGAAACTTTGATAACAACATACGCAAAAATAAAATAAAAAATAAAAAAATATATATAATAATCTAATCGTAATCTAAATGAAAAAATACACGATATTACAACAGGATAAGCCTTATCTAAAAAGAAATAAAATAAAACACATGGATAACGAAAACTGCAAAGTATGTTTTATTTACAAACAATTCAGCTACTGAACTACCATTTTGAAAACTAAAATTTCCACTACTAATGTTTCAAATTTGAAAAATTGTTTCGTTTGGAACAGTTAATTTTACTAATTTATTTTTCTTTATGACAATATGGAACCATTTGTTAAAGCATAAATAATTTAATTAGGTAGTTGCAATAAAATTTGATTTGTAAATTTTATATTTCAAGTTATTAAAAATTAAAGTGATGACATTGTTAAAAGGATGTGAAAGATTTCCTAAATTTTGAAATAAACAAGCAAAAAAATCTATATTAAATAATATACGCTATGTATATGTATATATATATATATATATATATATATATATATATATATATATATATATATATATATATATATATATATATATATATATAAACACATATATTTTGTTATAGTTCTTAATTTAACTTAATTCAATTTTTATATATATATATATATATATATATATATATATATATATATATATATATATATATATATATATATATATATATATATATATATTTATATATTTATATATTTATATATATATATATATATATATGTGTAAATATATATATATTTATATATATATATATATATATGTATATATACATATACATATATGTATGTATATATATATATATATATATATATATATATATATATATATATATATATATATATATATATATATATATATATATAATTTGTAAATATTATTGTTTTGCTAAGCTTTTATCGGTTTATTCTACATTACTTTAAAAGGACGTTACTTAACAAAATGACACGCTGCATGAGAATAAACCTTATTAGTATAAGCAAGAGATGCTTGCTACTCGTTTGACTTGCTATATTTGTGGTAAAGATAAATACAAGCAACCTTACAATAATGAGAAAGAAGTTATAATTTTTCTGTCATAGAACAAGCCTAATTATATTTACAATAGGTTCTCTCACATTTTTACGAAGCAATAGTTGCTATAATTTCCTAAGTCATATTCACGACAACCATCAATTGGATTTATCAATTATATCCATGGTAAATGTTTTATAACACTGTCTTATTTGATCAGAATTTTTATACCGTAATTACTAATTGTTTTGCGTGAAGAAGAAGCACTTGAATATTTAAAAATGACGACTAAAAAAACCGTTATTAAAAGTTTACCCAGTCATAATCAGTGACAAAAAACGTTAATTGCTCATTTATTAAATTGTAAAAAAACAATATTGTGTTAGTTAAAAAATGCCAGTGCAATACGATCTTACCTGATATTAATGCCAGCTCATTACGTTCACACAGCATTACGATCTTACCTGATATTAATGCCAGCTCATTACGTTCACACAAATGTTTACTGTTAGAACTCAAAAACTTGTTTTTGAACTTTCAGTAATATTTTAAATTGTTACCAAACGTCGATGATCTTTCAAGTAGTTTTTTTCCAAAGGGTTGGTCAAAAATATTTTTTAATGATAATAAAACGAATTTTTGGCTGATTAACGCGTAAATAATTTTTAATTAAGATCAGCATTATTTACAACATATGAAACATATTATTTAAATTGCAAAACCATAGATATTGGATAAATCTATACACCAAAGATCGCCATGATTCATTTATTTATCATATTTTTTCATTACATTGCATAAAACGTTATTTTACTAATGCAGATGTTACTTAATATATAGTTTTATTTAAAATGCAAAATAGATTTTTAAAAAGTTTTGTGAGAAACCGGGTATGATAACGGGTACGTTTCAGAAAAAAATGGGTTTTATACCTGTTATCTGATATAATTTATAGGGATATTTGATCATATCTGGTAATTAAACATCCAGTAGAATGTGTGGCATATTTCCCAACAATTTTTTAACTGGTAACGCGCTAAACTATTGCGACTATTGCGTAGCAATCTTGGCTTGACACAGAAATCTGCTGCCTTTTATTCATAAAATAAAACGCTTGCTTTGGCGATGTTACAATTGTTTTAACAAAACAAATGCTAGCTTTGCTTATCTCGTTTTTTTGTTGTCATTTATTCATGAGAAGAATATTGAGTACAATTTTAGACTACAAAAATAAAGAAGCCGAGTATTACACCATAAACGCATTCAGAAGTCAACGGTTTTTCAAGTATATAAGATTTCTTGAAGATTATAATATGACCAACACTGCCAGTAGAAATACATAAAAGAAACCAGATTATTTGAGCTCGTTGTTTTAAAATCTATGTTATAAATAACGCCTTAATCAAATGATAATTAATTGCTGAAGTAAAAAGGGGGACTGCTTGTATTTGTAGCTTAGGTGTCTATAAAAATGAACTATTACAAATCAGGTGCGGATACGTGCGGTTTCTAAAATTATAGATAAAAAAGTAATAAAAGTCAAAAAACAGAAAGCGCTTTTTTATCGTGGTTTAAGACTATATCTGTTTACAACAATAATTTTGCGTAAGTTTTTTTGTCAATTTTTTATTGAAATTAATTTTAATGAACATGCATTTTCATTTTGTGGTGAAAATGTTTTCAGCAATATTTGAACACTGCATCATTTAAAAAATAATATATAAAGAATTAAAAAACATATATCACTGAAAGAAATTTACAGTAGAAATCAAATACTTTGCTTACTTTTTAAAATGACAACTTTTAAGTGTTCGAAACATAAACTGTTACTTTTCTATATTGATTGAGGTAGGTCAATTGAAACACTATCAATAATTTAAAAAGAAAATTATCAAGTTTCTCAGGGTAGCTTGATCATCAGGCATTACGTTCAAACTTTCAGAAAATCCCAAGAATTCCGCAATAAAGATTATATAAAATTTCGCCTTTGTCATGCCAGAAAATGTTCTAGATAGATAGCTACAAATGAGGACGTATTTCATACTCTTCTGTACACTTCCGATCCCTGCATCACCAGCATTAGAAAACCGTACAGCAAAAGTGTCGAAGAACTCGATGATAGAGAAAACTGATAGAGAAACTTGATAGAGAAAAGGCGCCTATGATGGCGTAGCGCCTATGATGGCATACCGGTCATATTTCCACAGAAATTGGTTTTGGTGAAAAAGTGATTAAACCTACATGACTATACTGGCTTTACATCAATTTTAGTGAAAATACGTCCCTTGTGCACAAATTTTGTTTTTATTATCAACAAAAATCGATTTTCGAATGTGCTGCTGTTGCTTTTTTCCCTTCATATATTTAAAATTGTGATTTTATTATTAACTGTGTAGAAAGGGAATTTTCATGCATTTTATATCGAAGTTTTGTGCATTTAGTGGAATACTTACTTTAATTTTATCTTATAAACAAGGCAGACACCGCTTGTTTTAATGAAAATGATAACTGCTTCCCATGATGGCATACTGACGAGTTGGCATGATGATGGCATGATGACGAGTTGGACTTGTTGCAATCTTAAAAATCGTATTTTTAAGATTTTTTTTTTCTTATAAAAAAAGAAAATTTTAAATAAAGTAAAAAGAAAGCGATGCTCCAAAAGTTTTTTATTTGGTCCAAAAAACACCTAGAACGCATTATACCTATGCG